TATTAATTTTTTATAATTAAATTCCTCAATTTCATTGCGAACTCAAAAGATGCTTAAAAAAAAGAGTATTAAATATTTTTTGGGCTCAATAAACTCATTAACTAGCCCGCATTTAATTATCAATTATACCTTTGACGTTTGTTTCTAAAATCTAGGTCATATATAATGAATATATTTTCACGAAACTATTCATCAAAATAAGAAAAGGAAAGTATTTCGGTAACAAATAATGATTTTTTGTTTATTAAAAATATATACAAATAATTGTTTTTTAAATTCATAACACAATTGAAATATATATATATTTCTATATATATACACTATATATCGATAAATAAATACATTATTAACATATGTGGGCCTGGCTGCACGAGTACCAAATCCTGTTCTGAGTACAGTTCTATTTTTTTTATGGATTTTTTTTTCAGTTTTTCGATGGCTTGTTATAGTTTTGCCTGCTGCTGGCGGCAAATGCATGGGAATGGGCGGGACATTTGTATGGTTTGGGGGGCTTCTGGGGCGGGGGGATTTCAGAAAGTGTTGCAAGTCTGCAACACAATCCCTATGGCTTAAGATGAGAGCACAGCAATGTGAAAGGGCTTGCCGAGGCGGAGTTAGTTCTTTTTGCGCAGCTCTTCGAGCTCACGCGCCTCCTCCTCCTCGGCCAGCTCGACCTCGTGCTCCAGCATGCGGATCTGATCGCTCAGCTCCTTGGGCATTTTCTCCAGGTGCATGGATTTGATTTGAGCCTTGATGTCCTTGGTCATGTGGTTGATGCGGAAGCCGCGATGATCGAACAGAGGCTTATCGCCGTTAGCCTTGTGCTGCTCCTCCACGTACTTGAGAGCACGCGCAATAGCCTCGGGGATTGGTGGCGGTGTTGGAATGTGGTCACCCTCGGGCATGAAGCCCCGATCATTTGATGCGTAGTTAACACGGTACAGTTTGCCATCATCGCCGGTGTATTCGTATACGCCCTTGGCGTGGGTGCCGCCGCCATGATGCAGCCTCGCCTGCTCCTCGCCATAGATGCCGTTCTCGGTCAGGAAACTGGAAGACGAAGAGCATGGGCCGGGTTAAATGCTGACGACTGGTGCAAGGGGCAGCTGCCGTAACTTACGCATGATCGTATTTGTCCTTCTTGCGGATCTCTTCCTGATGCAGAATCTTGTGGCCGCCCTCGTCGTCGTAGTTGAAGAGAATGGGGCGTTGCGTGGTCGTGGTTGTTGTCGTTGTTGTTGTGGTGCGTGGCGTGGTTGTGGTTGGCTTCTTCGTCGTGGTTGTTGTTGTCGACTGTGTTGTTGTACGGTACGTGTGTTAGAGTAACGAGCGCATCAGGAGTTTCATGCGTATGCGTGTGTATGTGTGTGTTGTGTGGTTTGTGTGTATGCGTAGGGAGTTCATGCAGTTGGTGGAGTTCATGCAGCGCATTGGGAGTTGCAGGAAACGGGAGTCGGTTGTAGGTTAATGGCTTCTTGGTGTGTTATGCTGTTGTTGGTTTGAGTTATGAAAGCGTTGGGGTACGGATTGTGTGGGATCGCGGGGGTATCTCGTTTGTAAAACTGATCGAAAATACTGTTGTTTTTTTTGTGTGTTTTTTGTTTTTGCTTTGTTTCTCTTTTGTTTGTGTTGGGCATAGCTTTAATATTCGATTTGTGGTTCATGGTCGGGAAAGCCGTATTCCAAGCGAATTTCGGGTATTTTAAACTCAGCTTTACTTACTGTGTACAGATTGTGGCTACAGAAGATATAGAGGTGTATATAGCATTAGAAGTGCAATTTTCTTGTTTGAAGTTTGGACTTACTTGTAAGGTCTGGCATCGTGCACATAGGGGCGATTGAGACCCGAATATGGTCCATAGCCGCCATCGTATGGATAGGGTATATGGTGATAAATGCCAAGTTCACGGTTATCACTCACATGGCGATAAGGCTGCACATCGTGATGATAACGGCCAGCTAAGGATGAAAACCGAATTCAAATACTCTTAGAAATGAGTGTTAAATTATGGGTTGTATGTGTGAGTGTGTGTATGTGCTTTTGTGTGTGCTTGAACTCGTTTTTCGTATGGGAGTTCATTGAATTCTATTTATAGTATATAATCTACAAATATTTATATACAATATAGGTTAAACCATAACATAAATGTCCGAATAATTGAAAATATTTATGTGTTTGTTTTGTTTTGATTTGTTTTTTTTTTTACAATTGATAAAGCAAGAAAGCAATTTAGCAACGACATTTTAAGATCGTTGATAACATGCATACAAGGAAGTGCTAAGCTTTGCCTCTTCCACGCTTGCTTATAATTATGATAAATTGAAGAAGAATTATGATAAAATCCTATATTATTTATAGTTTTTGTGTCTTTGTTTTTTTTCTTTTTTTAAATAAATGTTTCTGTGATGAGTGTGTAATTTGTCAAGAAAACAAATTGTTTTCTCAAATAAAAAACATTGTTATGTTTACCTAAAGAATCTGGATTACCACCTCGGCCTATAAGAAATTAAATGTTAATTGATATACATATACACATACAAGTTTATGCTAGAAGTATATAATACAATGAATTAGTGTGCGATGCAATAAAGCCAGCTCGATCGGTAAGACCAAAGATTATAGATTTTGAGTGCTCTGTGTTTACCGAAACCAGACGAATTTATGGCTTGAGCTTGAACTTTGTTATTATCACGACTCGAATAATTCAATTGGGTTATCAGTGAGGACAATACTTAAGATAAGTGTGTGTTATTGTTGTGTTAGTTATTGTTTTTGTTGTTGTTGTTGGGTTCGTTGTTATTATTAGGTCAGGTGGCTTCAACATGCATTGCGGTGGCTGGATCATCATGCAACAGTTTGTGGTATCAAATTAGCAAATGCCTTCAAAAATACCTTCGTCTGCGGGACTCGGATGATACCGTCCATCATCATACGCACGATATTTGCCGTCGTTAGATCTTTCGGTCGAAACCGTATACTTGCCATTGTTATCAACGGGGTTGCTGCTACCAACTGCAACAAGGCCCTGTAAAGAAAACGAAAATCAATTTTATATATATATATATATATATATTTTTACGAGCTGTGGAATTTGGCATATCAAATGAACGCGGCAACTCCCAGGCCTTATTCACAGTTCAATTAGCCGGCCGGAAGTGTAAAAGGTAAGAGAACAACAACGAATTGACACAATAAATGCCAAAAAGCACGAGCAGAGCTTCACAAAACGTTATGTGATGTTTGTTGTTTATGAAGTGTTTTATGACAGCTCCAAATGCCATTAA